TAGTGGTAACCGACATGGGAAGGCCATAAATAGTTGTGAAATTAGGTCAGTGCCTTTTTCCACGGTGCTTTGGGTGACCTCACAAAATCACTATTGGGTAAGGAACCATTCTTCTCAGTCGTTTGGGTCCCAGAGTAACGTGTTATTATCAATATGTCAAGCTCAATATCGGTCTTTATACTTTCCATTTATAGAAGGCAGCGAGTGAATTAGATTAACAATAAAGCATATGACCCTGGAAGAACAAGCGACAGTGATGTATATATAAACGTACCTGTTATGTAAACCGTAGCTCCAGCCTCTCCCAGTTGTAATGCAATTCCTTTACCGATGCCACGACTGGCACCAGTTACTACGCAAACTTTACCCAACAATGGACGTGACATTATTTTGTATCTCGCAATCTGTGTAGCGTAATACGTGTCCAAATGTCGTCCAAACGTGACGTCTTACGGTCAAAGGTTGTAGGATAGGTTTAACGCACTATTAAGGTCTCAAACAACTAATCGGCCAGTCAAGTGCCCATTTCTCCGGGTTGTTTGTTTCCATCTTTTTTTTAGTATTTGTTTGAGCTGAACAACGAGCATTTTGTTTTTATCTTTGGAACTTATTTTTGCACACCTACACATTAATAACATTGGTGGTATACAACCCAGGTGTGTTGTTTGAGGAGAATCTGTGTAAAAATGTTATTCGACTGCCCGAATTCGGCTGTTTAGAATCAGAATGCTTATTGGTAAATTGGTATTGGTATTAATTAAACCATGGATAACACTGAATAACAGAATAAAGTTATTGTGATGCATGGGAGCAACGCTCTTATTTCAACCAACCAGCTGTAATTCAAACGCCCTCCTTTTATCAACTAGGTCATCTTCGATCATTTATTCATCATGAATGCCTGCACGGTGGCAATTTACTATCAGGTACTCACTGCAGTCCGTGCAGTATGGGGAATACGAATTGATTTACTGTAGGAGGAGCATTGTACTAAACTATCTAGTTTCAAGTTTAGCGAATTT